TTCAACCAAAAATCAACGATTCTAACTATTTTTCAACGTTGATTTAACATCATGTGCTATCTGGGTTGTGACCACGTGGATGAACTCTTGAAGTAACTTTGGTTGGTTAGCACTCCTGGGAATGGCCGCCAGTGTTCCTGTTTCTTTAAACTGGGACAGGAAGTGCTGTTGTTTGATATTTATTTTTTTTTAGCTTATTTCACATTGTAAGTTCAGGTTCTGCTTAACTTATTTCTTGACTACAGTTCAGGCAGTAATCAGGCCTGGGTGCGGCTTCAGAAAGCCACTTGGCGGTTAGCTACATTCATAGTTAGCTACATTCACACAGAAGCATGTTAGTTTGAAGACACGATGGAGGACGGAGCCTGAACCTCTCAAAATCTGTAACAAGAACACCACACACATTTTGATGGCTGATTTTCTGAGCTTTCTACAATGGTCACAGGACTCTGGGTTAGAAAGGTTAGCATATATTCATTCTGTCATGGTTTTAAGCTTGCTAGTCCAGGTTAAAGCCTCTCAAAACCATGCTAACACAGGTTAGCAAGATTAGAGACATACTCTATGTGTACGTTAGACCTGTGCCAGTTTTTGGGTGTGTTATACATTTAATAATGTTTCAAATTTTGTAAAACTTTGAATATTTTCCCCTTTTCTAGTTAGCTTAGCATAGCTAGCTAAAGAAAGAGTGCTTTTTTTTTGCTTATCTGCTGATTAGCTTGAATTGTTAGGTGTTTAACCTAACAATTTGGACTGCCAGACTTTTTTTAAAAAGGTTTCTGTGGCACTAGTGACTTTTATCAGTAGATGGACAGAAAGACGGGCAGAGAGAGAAGTGGAAGACATGCAGCGTGGTCAGGAATCAAACATCTACCGCTGAAACATGTGACGCCCATAGAGAAAAACTATATAAACTTTTCAATAGTTTTACTTCTAAATAGACATGGTCTGTTACTAATGTCTTTGTTAGCTTTTTAAGCTAACCAGTAAGAAAGGCTCTTTCTATTCCACTCTTTAATAATGGTTAAAACTGAACAGCACGGAGCTCATGATGAGAAAATAAAATGTGTCGTTTCTATTTTTTCCCCATCTCTTTAGCAGCAGTAAGTAGTCCAGGTTTCTCTGTGACATGAAATACATTGCATGAATTGGAGAGAAACTCCCGCTCTTTTGTGTTTCTTTAAAGCTGGAGTGAATTTCTCTGTTTTCCTTTCTCTGACTGAGCTTTCGCTCACGTGTGTCAATTCTTTCCCCCAGACTTTTTTTGATCGCAGATTATAATTAAGAAATAATTTCGACAGCCACGGAGGTGTGAAAGATCTGCATCTAAATGTTAATTTCGCTCACAAAGTGTGTGAACCTGCACAGATGTTAACGCCGGCTCCGCGTTGGCTTCTTTTTGTTTGTGCACCTCGGTGTTTTCCCGGCTCACATGTGTTCTTACCCTCGGCTCTGTTAGCAGCCCGTCGGATCTGTCAACTTGGGGAAAATTTCCATTTTGCAGCTAACTCTGCAGCCTTTTGATGGGTACGTCTTGCCTACTTTTATCTCTCGGTGCGTCTGCAAACTAATTAATATTTTTTTCTCTCCCTCTCGCTTGCTCTCCTTCAGGCAAATATTTGTTTCCTCAGAAGTGAGCGTGGGCAAACCTTCCTCACAGCTCCATATGCTGCCAGCTGCCAATCAAGTGGCCCAGAACCCTGAAACTAATCGCACAGCCCCCCTCCCTCTCTGCTCTGCCTCTCCTCTTCCTGTCGTTCAGCAGGAATCAGGGAGTGTGTGTGTGTGTGTGTGTGTGTGTGTTTATATATGAATCAGTAAAGCTGAAATAACGACGGATGAGTCAAAGTTAAAGGAATATGTTCTGTCAGTTCACTCCAAACCGTCTGTGTCGATTTTTCCGAATAATTGTATTATTTTTTATTAATACTAGTATCAAAGGAACTGAATTGATTTGAATGTGTTTGGGAGCTTCATCAGTGTTTTTGTCTGCAGTATGCTTCTAATTGTCTTTTGCACAGTCCATCAATGTTGCATACCAACATTTATAAGACAAATAAAGACATATTGCTAAAGTATTCACTCCCCAGTTAACTCTTTCCACATTTTCTTTGGCTTTAGGACCAAAAACATGTGTGTTTTATGTGTTTTTCACAAGTTAAATCAACACAAAGTATAGCTTTTTTGTGTGTTTTGAAAATGTATGCAAATAAAAATCTGAATAGTGTGGTGTGCCTTTTTTTTATTCAGCCCTTCCGAGTCAAGACTTTACAGAATCCCGTTTATGCAGGAGTCGCAGACGCACGTCTTTGTTTCTACTGACTTGAACCTGGAAAAACAGATAATCTTAATCTCAGTCAGAGTTCATGAAGAACATCTGTAAAAAAAGCAAAAAAAAAAAAAAAAAAAAAAACTTTATAGCAATTTATATCTGAACTGTTCCACTGTGGCTCTGGCTGTGTGGTTCTGGTTGTCCTGCCAGAAGACAAGCCTCCGACCCAGTCTTGTGGATTTGGTATGCTTTGATTCGAAGACAAAAATGTCCTGTCTGACTTGCAGGGCTTCTGGCAAACTGCAAACAGAACTTCTTATGTTTATTTTTCTGCCTATTTCTCTAAATAATCTCATCAGCTTGTTTTCAGATGACGGCTTGAACAAAGCTCTGTGTTCAAAGCCTGTTTTACAACCTTATTCTGCTTTAAACTTCACATCTTTCTCCCCAACCGGTCGGCAGTGTTTCTTGATGCTGCTTGTTCGCTAATGTTATTTAACAAACATTGGAGGCCTTCAGTAGTTGGGTTACTTATAAATACAACCAGCTGAATTTCAGGGGGGCGGCCAGAAATTTGTTTCTAAGAACAAATTTCTAAGAAGTTTCTAAGAAATTTGTTGTTTCTGAGAAATTTGTTCATAGGAACAACAAATTTCTAAGAAGAAATGTGTTGTTTCTTCTTAGTTTAATAACTAAGAAGAAACAACAAATATCTGAAAATAAACTGTCTCAGTCTATATTAAAACATTTTTCTAATTTTATTTTGGATTTTATAAAGCTATTTATTGAGTCTTACATCTCTGTCTTGATTGAAGAAGTTGACTCTAAGACGTCTTATGAGCTAAACATGATTCTCTGGGAGGAGCTTTGTGGTTGAAGAGAGGGCCGTGGCCTCTCCAGGCCTCCCACTTGGGGTTGCCCCTGCTGTTCTGGATTGTTTTTCATTAGAATTAAAATGGACCTTTTTTTTTTCCAGATTTTTTCCTTCATAATTACCTGTACATTCTAACTACTTTGTGTTGGTCCTTTGTCTGAAATCTCAATGAAACACACTGAAGTTTGTCATATATTCTACTTTGACTGCTGGTGTTTAGATTACCGCTTCAATTGTTGGAACATTTCACTTCTTTTTATCTCCTCTATTTTCAGTAGCATGTGTTGCTGTATGTGAAAAATGAAAAAAAGAAATCTTCTCCAAAGACAGATGATATGACACGATGTCCTTCTCTAATAAGTTCGCTGTTGTATCAGTCGTTGTCGTGTTGTACAGGCTGCAACCACTTCCACACACACGCACACACACACGCACACACACACACGGTCCTCAGTGTCTCCCTCCTGCTATCAGCATCATGAGCGTGTAAGTGATCCTGTCTTTGTGAGGTTAATTGAAGGCAGGAGCGCTGACTGTCTCAGACATAATCTGTCTGCGTGAACTGTGTGTGTTTGCCAGAGTGTGTGTGTGTGTGTGTGTGTGTGTGTGTGTGTGTGTGTGTGTGTGTGTGTGTGTGTGTGTGTGTGTGTGTGTGTGTGTGAGAGAGAGAGAAAGGAAGGAATGTGTTCAATGGGACTACATATATATATATATATATATATATATATATATATATATATATATATATATATATATATATATATAAAAAAACGAAAAAAAACACACACACACTCTCTTTT